TCTTGTTTATGTTTATCTTTTTTAAAGGGTGACACTTGTGGAACAGATAAAGATATCGGTCAAATTGAGTTATTGGAAGCGGCTTGATTAAAACCAATTGATGTTTTTTTTTTAATTTAAGGACAGTTGACTTAATCATTTAAGTAATTTATCTATTAACAAATTTGTAGTTAACTTTATTTTTTTTCTTTGTTATATTTCGTTTAATAGGGTTTTCTGAAAGAATGTATTATTAACTATCCTATACCTAAATTCCGCTACATTTCTGTGATTCGTAAAATGTATTACCATTAAAAATGTAATATGAATAGTTGTCTGTTTTTATTCTTACTTATTCAATTAACTAACAGAAGTTTTGAAGGTGTTAGAAACTGTTTTGTTGAGGCAACATGCAGTGCCAAAAACGCCCGATTGTGTAAGTATCAAACGCGGAAGGTTAAACTGCTAATATGAAAGTAAACGCCAAATAACACATAAAATAGTAGTTACCCGGTATTAGTTATTGTGCTTATTTACCGTCTCTGTCGTTTTCTTTCTGTTTTTCTCCCTGTTTTTTCCTCATCTCTTTATTGTCCTTTTTTCTTTTTTATCTCTTTCTATTTTTCTCAATCTTTCTCGTTGTCACTTTTTCTCTTTCTTCTTTTTCCAATTTCCGCATCTCTGTTTCTCATTATTTCTTCCTCTTTCTCTTTATTCCTCTCTCTTTTTCTCCCTCTTTCTTTTCCTTACTTTTCTTTTTTTCTCCCTATCTCCTCTTCTTTCCCCTATCTCTCTTTTTTCTCCGTATCTCCCTTTTCCCCTATCTCTTTTGTGCTTCGTATATCTTTTTTCTCCCAATGTCTCTTTTTTTCTACCTATCTCCGTTTTTCCCAATATCTTTTTTCCCCCTATCTCTCTTTTTTTCTACCTATCTCCGTTTTTCCCAATATCTTTTTTCTCCCTATTTCTCTTTTTTTTCCTACCTCGCTTTGTCTCTCCTTTTCTTTCTTGTATTCTACCTATCTTTTTTATTCTCTCTATTATTTTTATGCTCCCAATGTATCTTTTTTCGTTTTCTTTCTTACTCTCGCTCTCCCTTTCTCCCCCTCTTACTTTCACCCCTCTCCCTTGCTTCCCCTCTCGCTTTCTCTCCCTTTCTCTCCTTGATATCGTAGCTTCTTCATACACAATGCCAGTCACCTTGCTGCTATGAAACCCACTTAGCATTTCTGCTCCTTTGAAGCTCATCTACAATCTCTCAAGTGGTCTGGGAAAAATATATTTTCTCTTCAACCCCTGCTGGTCATCAAACTTTACACAACTCGCGAACCTTCTTCGCTTTATCCGTTAACTCTGTATTCAACCGTCATGTGACCAAACAATAATTCATTGCAATTGTTGATGGAACGTGATTGGATTTAATGAAAGGAGATAGTTTTTACTATATCCACTAGTCACGCCTTCATTGAGTGATGGAATAAATGCCGGTCAAAATATTCAGAAAACCGGGACAACAAGGAATATGGTGTATTGACATTTCTATCAAGGAAACGTTACAATTGATGTTAATTACAACAAAAACATAAACATATGATGTTCTCAGGTAATAATTTCGAAATGTAGAACATTATCCGCATTTCGCCACTCATGTTGCGCATTCGAAATGTCCATTTTAAATTGCCTTCTTTACTTAGTTACGTGCAGTCGGTATGAAGACCCGTGTAATGTGTCTCGAAACCGTTAAAGTGTGTGACGTGCATGTGTACGGGTGAATGGAACAGCGATGTCGCAACGGGGCAAGCCTCCCAGCGGCAGAGACGCGATGGGTAGCTGGCGGCAAGACGCAGAGACCCGGCTTCGAGTCCTGGGGCTGGCGCTGGCGGTGGCGCTGTGGGGGGCGTGGGCGGGGGTAGTGGCGCGAGGCGTGTGTGTGCCGTGGGAGGGGGCGGGGCCGCCCGTGCCGGGCCTGCAGTGGGCGTTGGGGGGCGCAGGCGTGAGCGGGGGCCGGGCGGTGGGCGTGATGGACCTGGGCGACGGCCCGCGCTGGCTACGCGCCCTGCACGCCCGCGCCGCGGCGCCGCTGCTGCTGTGGCGCCCGTCTGCGCCGCTGTGGACGCGCACCGCGCCCGCGTGGCTGGAGAGGCAGGGCGGCTAAGTGCACGTGTGTTAATAAATTTTGCACTGCCGAAATCTTGTCTAATTACTTACGTAATTAAAAACGTAAAATTTTAAAAAAATCACGCAAAAATAATTTAACATCTTTTTATCTCAATAAACAATAAAGAACACAATTACCACAAATCATTTTGGCATGTTGTAAACCAATACATATTTTACATTTTTTACAAAATAGGTAGAAAATCTTACTTGTTTTGCTCTGCAAGGTTTGCATTTTTTTTCAGTTCGCCTGCACGTCATCTCCTGCACGTCATCTTTCTCTTTGGGAAGAACTTGCGACAGTCTTCGATAAGACAAAGGATTACATTATCTATTGGCACTTCTCATACACACGGCTGAAAATAAAGCCATGACACGTACTGCTTAGCGAGCAGCTGAGAATTCATTGGCGCCGTTGGACGCAACGTATCTCACAGATATAGCGCAGCGCAACTATCAAGTTTGAACTTGCTCACGGAGAATTATTCAACGAAAGGATACATAGTAAAGGCCAGGCATTTTCAGGAAAATACAATGAAGGAATACACGAAATATCAGACGACTAACGCATCACAATGATTCAGGATAATTAAATTGCCCTGGCTTGGATCTCACAGATATTTTGCGAGTAGTCCCGGATGGAGGGTTATGAGGTCCAAAACGACCCCAGATATGATACGACGGAACTTTTCACTTTATCTTTACTAAAGCCGCTTTCAAAACAACTGGTAATAGGCATCCTTTTTTACTTTCTGCATAAGTAACATATTAAAATTATAATCATAAAATAAATAACTACAATATCTTTTCACTAAAACTTAATTTAGTTTGTCTAACCCCATCAATTAGGGAAATTGTTATACATTTAGAGAACAGGCCCTCCAGGTTGGACAAACCTGTAAGTGGTTGAAGATAATAACATTTGTATTTGTTAATAGTAATTATGAAAGATACAATTCAATTATATTTGTAAAATATTTTATTCATATACTAATAAGACATGTCATATGTAAATGGTAAACAATTCAATGGAAAAGAGTCCGAAAATGTAGTTGGCCATCTTATTAGTTTAGGAGTCACAAGTCTGTTGAGTATTTCTGGAAAATATTCCTTTATTGCGAGTTATCTAAAGCAATTATTATACTTGCAGAAGATGAGGGAAATGTACATAGTGATTACATCGTAAAACTTACTTTTAAAAGCATAAAACACTGAACTGTTACATCGGGAAATATGGATGTGTATCTAGAAATGTCTGACCATTGGGTTAGTTGGCTTGTTAAATAACCTTGATCGTATTAAAATGTAGAATTGTATTGTGACGGTCTGATCTTTTTTTCACAAAGAAAATGTCCGAATTACAAACGTTTTTGCGAGTGTGTATGTGCGCACGCGGTTCAGACAATTATCATTCTTTGTTTTTATTTCCACTCTTCAAGAACGTTAAAAGGTGACTTCGAAAACAATATGTTGCAAAAGTGCTCTCAAAACAAAACATGTGTCGTGGGTCAGGCGCTAGGAAAGGTCCTTGGTTCTCCTCTGAACTTATTTCTCCGTTCAGCGCCCACTAGCTGCGCATTCCGCCCGAAAACCGTGCGCAGACTTCTGCGCATGCGCAGCACACCACCGCTGCGCGCGACCTCTGCGCAGAAGGCGGCGGCGGCCAGCGCCAGCCCCGCGCAGAGCAGCGCCAGGTGCGGCCGCAGGTCCTGCAGCTGCAGGGTCCGGGGTTCGTCGCCTTCCGTTCCTGCCTTTGTCTCCTTTTTTCTCCAGGGGTCGTCTGTGCGCAGGCGCCAGTACATCCTCATCGTTCTGTTGAAATCCGCGTTCCACTTGAGAAGGAGCCCCGCGTCTCGGAACTGAATCATCTTGAGATTGATTGCGTCTGCCCACGGCCAGTTCCTGGAAAGACAATTTATACAATTGTACAATTACTTGCCAACTCATCACTAGTGACAATAATTGTTCTTGTTCTCGGACAAAAGTGTGAATTAGTTTTGTAACTGCTGTACTGTGTATGATAGTTAATATGGAGAATCTTGTAATTTTTGTCTCCGTCAATAGGGTCCCTAATAATGCAGATAAGTTTATGCGTCCATTCTATTAAAACACTATTCAAAACATCTTGTCTGCGAGCATTTTGGAAGCTTATTCCCATCTCATTTTTATCCATTATTAAAAAAGTATGCAGATTTGGTAATATTGACAACGAAATAATGAACGTCATATACATGTTTACAAAGGGCAAGTCTCTTATTTCATCAAGATTTTATTATCATTACATAATTTTAAATTATTAAATATACTTACCACCTGGTGATCATATACGACCATTTTGTTATCACAGTATCAATTACATGCATTGTCACACCATTTCCATAGCTTGCAGAATATGTCATGTGCCAATTTCTATCGCTTGTAAGAACAGCGTATCGATTTTCACCGAATTTCGCTAGCAACTGCTCTAAGTTGTTAACGAAATTAAAATTGAGGTTGAATAATCTTTTAAAATAGATATGCGTGCAGGCATTGGTATATTGCGAGCATATATTTTTCATGTTTTCTAGCAGCGGTTTCTGGTCTTTATACGTTAAAACTGGCACTCCAGTGGCACTTAGTTCCTCGATTGAATCAATGTTTGGGTAACATTGGGGTTTCAGAATAAGGTCAAAGAGGCGGCTCTAGAAAATAAAAATACTCTCTCAGAACACACAAAATAGTGAGACTAAAGTATATACAGTCATTAAATGACTAATTAAATTTAATTATTCATCAAATTAGTCATTAAATTATTCTCAAAAATAGCACTCGCAGAATCAACAAAAATATATTATTATAGAAGTTTTTTGTAAATCTCTTTCAAACTATCTGTCGCCTATTGCTTGTCTGCCTTCGTGTCCGAATATACTTCCCAACGTGTGCCTTCCCGCAGACAGAAGATGTCTGCCAGTCCCTTAGGCTCCCTATGCGTCCGCCACCATCTCCGTCGCCTCCCTTGTTTGTCTCCCTGCCTGTTCGTTTCCCTAGTCGTCCGGTTCTTTCTTGTCCTTGTCTCCCCCATTGTCCGTCTCCTGCCTTGTCCTTATTCCTTCTTCGTTTTCCTCCCTCCAAGTCTGTCTCCCTCCAAGTCTGTTTCCTTCCTCGTCTGTCTCCTTTGTTCTACATTGGGACTCGACTTATTGTGTGTCACTTTTTTCTCCGCTTTTTTTTTAAAAAAATGATTGTTTGGGGGAAATTTTAGATGAATAAGAAATATTAAATACAAAATATATTTAAAAAATTATCTCATTAAATGCTTTACGTTTTTTTCTTCAGTTTTTTTTAAATGGCGCAATTTTCTCCAATAATAAAGCAAAGATAAAATTGTGATCATTGTAAAAAACATAGTATTTTTTATCCTATATTACTTAAAATATTTCATAAAAACCTTCGGTTGCAGAAAGGGACAATAATATGCATTTGGTGACTGAATGAATAAGATGTGGGGCGTTTGTATCTTCACCTGGTAGGCGGCGGCGACGACAACGGCGGAGGTGAGCAGCGCGGCGGCCAGCTGCAGGCGCTGCGGCGTGGCGCGCACCCTGTTCTGCGGGGCGCCCCCGCACGAGGAGAAGGCGCGCAGCGCGGCGGCGGCGCTGGCGGCCAGCGACTCGCCCGCCACCACGCGCCACGCCAGCGCGTACGCCACCGCCGTCCCCAGCAGCGCGAGCCAGATGCGCAGGGAGAACACGCGCAGCGGCAGCGACCACGCCGGCAGCTTCGCAGGCGGGGGCACGGCCACTATGGCGCTATACCCGGATTGTGACGCCTCCACGAAGCCAAATGAAAGCTCCTGCCCCAATTCCGGATTTAACATAAACACTGTGATGTCCACATGGTCAAATAGGACATCATGTACATTATCAATACTTCTAGTTTTTGCTTTCGCAGAATGCTTTTCCTGAAACATTCCAAGACCAATTAGTGAAAACAAAATGGAGCAAAAGTAGATATCCATCAGGAGAAAGAAGAATCGTCAAAGGTGACTCAGGAAATAAACTAATGTCACTCAGTGCCAATGACCGGGAGTGTTGCAGATTTGAGACCTGACGTTGGCAAGAGTTTCTACTTAAGCTTGTTAGCTGGGTCGAGTTCAGTGGCTGTCTGGAGGGGAATTCTGGCCAGCTGTTCTATTCAGTAGTTTTTCGAGAATCTCCAATTGCTATTTATTCTTGCTGCATTATGTATTTAGGAATTTACTTTTAATATGTTGTGTACTATGAATACAAATTTTAATTCCGACCTTGATTCCGAAAAATTGGTTAGTGAGAAATGTATGTGCACATGTGAACAACACTAGTGGCTAAACCATAGACGGGATTTCAACCAAAATTAATATTCCCCGACTCGCTGATGTATCCCTTTGAGTTTGAAACATATGTTTTGGTTTTGCGGGTGTTTTACAAAAAACTCAATAGACATTTTCGACGATTAAATGAGAAGACACATAAGGGATTTCGTGTATATAAATAAAAACATAATACCTTCGTATACAATACCAGAATACTTTACCGAAATAGATATTTGCATTATATGATGTAGAGAGACTAGAATATGGTATGTAATTGTGAGAAGATAAATATCTGATAAGGTCGAAAGGCACTGAGTAAAACTGAATGAATTTGACTAAAACTTATTTTATTTTATGCTTTATAACATTGGTACAGTAACCTTTTCCTATCTGAGGTCGACCCAAATACCAACGCTGCATTCAAATAGCGCGGGCAGAGCCTCCTGCAAGACGTCGGAAACCCCTATTTATATATATTCTTTCAATTTGAATTGTAGCGTCCGTGCCGACCGACGCGGTAGGGAGCAACTGGAGGAGATGGCTTCGCGACGCGAGAGAGAAAGGTCGAAAAAGTTTGCTGTTGGGGAGTGGTGGTGAGTGTGGTGAGATGAAGAAGAGAAACGTACACTGAAGCTGCTGCGCCTAGGTTTACGGGCGTCCATTTTCTGACACTTCATTGCCGTGTAAGAACCCGGATCTGCGTGGATACGTATATTCTTTGACACCAGCCCGCTGCCCGTCGTGAGCTTTGCGCCGTTGGGTGAGGCAAAGCCCCGAGAAAAGGTCAGTAAGAATCGTCTTTGCTATATTTTCTCCTTAACTTTCGCCACGAACTTGCCATGACTGCGAGAAGCATCAAGTTCGCCCAGTTCGCTAAGACGTAGGAGGCTCTTGACAGTAGTTTCGTAGTGCCCCAAACCACCCCTTTAATGCGTACGGTCAGTGGTTGCGTGCCATGACATCCTCCAGTGTAAATAGCGGTCATTAGACCCTGCATAAGTAAAAAGTAACGACAGAGAGCAACCAGTGAATGTTGTAATGACTGCTAAAATTGTGCATGTAACTTCAACTTTACAAACTGTGCTTGATGCTCCATTTATTTTGTTGTCAAAGTGTTAAAAATTGTATAATTGTATTTTTATTTGTTGATTTGTCATTTTTTCTTTAAAAGAGAAGAGAAACTTGGTTCCATTAATTTTGTTATTGTACAAATGGTAATTATTTTTTTTAGTTTGTTTAAGAATATATGTATTTGGGTTTGAAAATTTTCTTGATACATAATTTCTTTTCTACGATCTGCTATCCTGTATAAAAAAATATATTTTCGTAATGTTTTTGATTTTGGGGTTGATAATGAACTGGTCACAGTTGTGAACTTCTAACATTTACAAGTAAAATGATGTTAGAACTTGTTTCAGTACCATTGCTTGTTGAACCAGTCTTTCGACATACTGAAATTTGCAATATATTTTTATAAACAATTTTTTTCTAGTGATTAGCAGTGCAAGTCGTACTATTGAATAGAGAACTTAAAAATAAATAATATAGCTTCTGTTCATATTCGCCATAAAATTGCTTCTTTTGGCGTTGTTAAACTACCGGATAATTTGTTTATATACTAATGACACTTAAGAAAAATAAAATATTGAACCTGGAGTTTTAATGGCTGTTTAGTAGAAAAAGGAAAGTTTGAATCTTGAAAAAACTGCCATAGTTGCCGTAATACAGAAATTGTTAATGGTATGATTCCTCAAAACCACCAATAAACATTAAAGGTTATTTTTCAGAGGAAATTGAAAAGACAACAATTTCGCTCTGTCGCATCGTTTATCGTCTCGAGGCGCTACCGAGGCCGCGATATCACCTCTGCCTTCGGCATTAGGCGTGTGAAGCGAGACATAGCAAATCTCTCATTTCAGTATTCTAGTGTGCGGAGAGCAAACGGTATTATTCCAAAAAATGGGGGTAGTTGTGAGATGCTAAGTTCTAATAAACAATTAAATATCACGAGAACGGAAGTTAGTAGCACTGATCAGATTGCGGAATTTTATATTGCGTTTACAGGGAATTTAGAGGGATAAATAAAAAGTTTTCAACATTTGCAATTTTATAAACAATTTGAAACATTAACAGATCTAAAGTGGGGAGAGTCTCCCGATGTCCCAGAGCCGAAATCCACGAAGTAACAATTATGCACCTATTTAAAAGTTTATAAACAAATTCGAAATGTATGCTAGAACTGTCAGTAAATTGTGCCTGAACATTTAAATGTAACAGTTTGATAGAGTAACAAAATAATTGCTATAATAAAGTACAATTGTTTCTAAAATGCTAAATATTTATTGGCCTTTTACAGTAGTTTTGGACGGAAAACTCCGGCTTAGAAATATTTTCGCCTCATACGTAAACAATGGATCTCACCGGGAACAACGTCCATTATCACTAAGGTTCAGACAGTTGCGATTGGACAACGCGCCCCTTCCCCGGATCGAAGAGTGTTCAAGTTTGTTTAGATGGTTGGGAAGACAGACTTTCACCCCCCAGTTCTTGTGAGAGGAACTTTACCTAACTTTCTGTACATCACGTCTATTACTACGTGCATAAGTACATGCATAAGTGTCTGGGAAAGCAAAAATTGGAATTGGCTACACAGTACAACTAGTGTGAATTAAATCGATGTTTTGCAACGGTTTTCTCCACTCTAGCGAGCTCTCAGCACTTTCTCTCACACAACGTAGATGAACATTATAATTATCTTATTCACTGTTAAACATTAGTATTGTCATATTTAATGTCACTGTGAAAAGCTGTTAAACTTTAAACTTCAATTAATAGAAACATCCAATAATTCGGAAGTAAATATTTTTAAAATTCATGAGAATACGAAACGTATTTCATCAAGTTATATATTTAATTTTAAGAAGAATTGCATTGAAGTTAGGTATAAGTGAATACTCTGCAAAAATAACAAATATTTTTCTTTCCTGAATGGAATCTCAAAAATAATCAGATTCTTTCTCACAGTGCCGATCATAATTTTCGTCATACTAAAAAATTTGAAGGATATGAAATGTTATTCTATGGGAATATAAAGAAACGATTCAGAGAATTACTTTTAAGTCGGATTCAGAGGTCGCAGGAACGGAATGCTATTGGTAAAGCTAGTTAGTAACGCAATATCTGTAACTAAATACCAATGTTACCAATTATCGATGTTCAAAACGAAATCAGCGTTCAAAAATCATAGATGTTGGTTTTAAATATCATGTTTTGAAGATTGTTTAGTAATCTCTAACATTGCATTCGTAAGCAACAACATTTTATTTTAAAAAGTGTTTATTAATTTATAATGAATGTTAAACTGAAAAAAAGGAAATCATTACAACAAATATAAATACTCAGCTTTATAACCCGAGCACACATAGTATTCTCAACACATTATTACGGCACCCTCTGAGATCGAAAGTAAACTACTGCATTAGTTCATTTTTGACTCCTTCTTGTCTATAAGAGACGCATACGAGCATACACATCGTTATTTATACGCAGAAATTGTGCTAGTAAGTAAGTGGCTCAGCGGTTTAAGAAGAGGCAAGCAGATAACACAACGTCTTGTGCGTTTATAGATCGTATTGACAGAGCAGCGAAGGTCGAAACGCTCGTTTAAATGAATTATTCCGAAGAATATTATTTTGCAGAAAAAAGATTTGTTCACATATTCATAGTGAAAATTGTCTTTTCTATCTTGTTCGTTTTTCACTTGCACTACTCTACAAACCGCCACTAGTTGGATTCAGAAGTTTCAGCAAGAATAAGAGTTGAAATATTTTGAAAACATTTTATAAAATATGTTAATTAATTTTTGTATGTTAGATTTTAAGCAACCAAAAAAGGAAATTAATTTGCTATTTAATATTAGTTTGTGCGAATGGGATCTTACCTCCAATTTTGAGGCGTTAGACGCGCCTCCATTCCTATAAAACCGAAGGTGAAGCCGCGATTCCAGCTCTCTTTCTTTGAGGTACTCCGGGCCAGCCAATCGGATGCCGGTTCCCTCAATATTCGCAAGGGACAGTCTCGTCCGCAGATTTCCTTTCCGCACGAAAGAAAAAGCTCCGCCTCCGAGATCCCTCGAGCGAGTGGCCACCAGCGCCTTGGCCTCGCGCGCGCATGCCTCACTGCGCTCCTCACACTGGGTGAGCCACTCCCTGCTCCCCCCATCGGGGGCCACGACATCGACGGCCAGCGCCCACCACCGCCCCTCCCCCTCCCGTTCGCACAGCAGCAGCCCGCGGAAGCCCTGGTGGCGCTGCCACAGCGCGGCCAGCACGCGCCGCCCCGCACGCAGCTGCGCCCCAGCAGCGCTCCCGGCCTCACGCACTCGCCTCCCGCCGCTTCTTTGGTCCTCGGGGAGCATCTGCGAATTCCACTCGTCAATCAGTGAGTTTTCAGACAGCTTCTGCAAACACCCTTTTCTTTTCTGGTTATTCTCAATAGTTCTCTGCAAATTCCAATCCCCCACGAGC